TATCTATCTATCTATCTATCTATCTATCTATCTATCTATCTATCTATCTGTATATATATATGTATACAGTATATGATTTGCAAGTTCTGTGTTATTTTTCAAGTGTGCCGTGAGAGACCCTGATAACAATCTAAACTTGAGTTTACAGGAAGCAATGTGCACTGCTCTCTGTGCCTACTTCTTAATTGTGGCTCTACTGACTTTGAGACAGTTTGTTCATTGGTGTGGACCTGAGAGCATCTCATCCAAAGATTAAGACAAAGAGGAACCTTGGAGTGCAGATTTAGCCCCTGCAGACATGAACACAGGTGAATACCTTTAAACAAATAAACATACTAGGGGTGTTTTTATACTGCTAGTGCTGTTTATTTGTTGTAAATACCTTTGTGTCGAGTGTGTAACAGAATGATATTTAGGGTTTATCGCCTAATGTCTGTTTTATGATCTTAAATGTTCTTTTTCAGTATTTATCATTATGTTTTGATTCTGGTGTGGGTCATTATCTTATGAAATCATATAATCATTTTTTTTTATTAAAAGGAAGACCAGAACTAAACATACAAATTACCAAAAATATTTGTTGTAATGAAAAAGCATACAATATCAAATATATTTCATATAGCAGGTTTTATGAAATATTTCTGAATTGATTAATCAAATATATGTATACAAACAATCTTTTATGTCTTATATGTGAAATGCATGGCAGTAATCAGAACGTAAGCAAATGAACCAAATTGCTAAGTGGCTGTGCGTTTGTATGGGATAAGATTACAAAACGTCACATGACCTGATTTGTTGCTTTTGGAAACGTTAGTTTAGATCATCTAAGACCTTAAATACAAAGGCATGTTTGGGTGTAGTACAGGTTATAACCAGAAGGTGGCATAGACACAGGCAGACCGAGATGCACGCAGACCAACAGACAGAGAGGAGAAGTTGTAGAAGTCACCATCACATTTTGCAGCCACTTTTGACCCACAGTGTTGTGATTGTGCTCATTTGTACAATTCATTTCTGCTCTGAGGCACACAGACCTATTGGTATTTTTGTGATTGTAGCCCAGCTAAATTTAATCTAATCATGAAAAAGCATATGAAAAAAAGAATAGCTTTGGAGGACGAAGTACTTATGTTATAGGTTTACTAAACTAAAAAAATTATATATCTGTCAACAGCTGAGCCCGGAGATGGAAACCCCTTCACAGTATTTGATTATGCATCATATTATGACGGCGACAATGCAACTCCTTGCGAATATGTTGACACGAGGGCCTTTAGCAGGGTGTATTTGGCCACTCTGTATAGCTTGGTTTTCATCCTTGGCTTCATGGGTAAGTTTTGTGCACACACAATGCATCAGAAGTTTGGGAATGAATACTTACTCAATATGAAATAAGTAGTGAGCAAACTTTTGACAGTGATCTATGTTAGGCACCTTTACTGGGGACACCATGGATTTTCTATGGTCACCCTCCTCTAGAGGAGGAATTTTTCTTTGGGAATTTTCTGCCTAAAGAAAGAGTGATGATCTATTTTTTTAGACAGAAATCAGGGGTTTGTTTGTTAATCAGGATTTAATTAAAGGATTCTAGTTCATCTGTGCATTCCTGTTTGTGCTCTGTATATCTACATAATAGGATACATTTTACAGTATAGAAAATAAATATTATCAATAAAAGCTCTGGACAGCCACTGGAAGTTATTTTTGCTAGTTGTAGAGGATATGATTAGGATGCATTTCGTTTTGCACACACAGATTCTCTGTTTTGACTTTATGTTTTGTACATTCTGAAAGATCATGTCCTACGTATTGATGCTTAAATTTGATGTTTACCATATGTAAGTTTGATGATAAAAAATCTGCCGCTTCCATCCGCTTCTCACCTCAGGTAATGGACTAGTAGTGTGGGTCATTCTGAAGCATCGCCACAAGACCAACATGACAGACATGTGCCTCTTGAACTTGGCCATCTCTGACCTCCTGTTTGTACTCACCCTGCCTTTTTCCAGTCACTACATCATAAAAGGCACATGGATTTTCGGGGACTTTATGTGCCGTTTCCTTTCATGCTCCCATGTCTCTGGATTCTTCAGCAGCATCTTTTTCATGGTCGTCATGACGCTGGACCGCTATATAATCATCATGCATTCTCACAGAGCGGTACAATATCGCACAATGAGGGCTGGCTTTGCTGTGAGCGTTGTTGTTTGGATGCTGAGCATGTGTGTCTCTCTGCCCTCTCTGTTATTCTCAAAGGTGGAAAATGTGTCTCATGCGGCGGAATGCAACAACTCCCCAGAATTGGAGCACTGGAATCGTTATAACATATTTTCAAAAACAGTTTTGGGCCTGTTGATTCCCTTGTTGGCGATGATAGTTTGCTACTCACGAGTCATTCCAACGCTGATGAAAATGAAGAGTGCAAAAAAGCACCGTGTTGTTAAACTGATTGTCTTTATTGTAGTCATTTTCTTCTTGTTCTGGGCTCCGTACAATATTTCATTAGTCTTGTCATATCTACAGCGTATAGAGATAATTCCACAGTCCTGCATCTGGGACAACAACTTGAGGCTGTCAATAACCGTGACTGAGGCCTTTGCTTACACTCACTGCTGCCTAAACCCCATCATATACGCCTTTGTAGGGCAGAAGTTTATGAAACGAGCCATGCAGCTGCTGAAAAGGTCTATGCCTTTCACATCCAGACTTTCAGAAAGTTCATTCAGAAGAAGCTCAGTGTCCAGGTCATCTGACGCAGTCCCCACAGTCCTCTTGTAGGAAGGACATTTGTGAATACCACACTGATTTTTAAAAAATGCTAAATAAGGAAACCCTGAAGAAAACCATTTTCAAAAGTCAACATTTGAGAACACAGAGAACATATCAAATGTTGAAAGTGAGACCATTTTCCATATTTTTCTAAATATGACCTCATCCTCTCCTTCAGGTAGAACCACATTGATTCTGTTGTAGAAATCACAGCACAGGCTCAAGAATGCTTTCATAAATGATTGACCTGCCATCCATAAAAGTTATTTTCTTTGCCAAATCTCACATTGGTTAGACAAAATATCGGAAATGGTGTTTTCTTCATTCTCCCATGTAAAAAACAAAAAGGGGTAAGCCTGTTCTAAAATGTTATTTGGTGCTGCGTTTGAAAGCCTGCCGGCCTGATTGTTACAAGGTCAATTAATGGAACAATGGAACTAACAGCTTGAATGTCTGAAAAACACCATCAGTGCTGTCGGACAAATAAAGGTCTTTCAGCAGTATGTGCTCTCTTCCAGCTGATGTCCTTTTAAGGGAAGACATTGCATATTTCAACAATATAAAGTGAATATAAGGTTAAATTAAGGCCCCCATTACACCTAGAGTCAGGTCTTTTTTCCAACTCTTGATGATGAATTAGAAACTTGAAACTTGGCATATCATCAAAATAAATGTAACCGTAATCTGTCACAGCAAAGTTTGTGTTGTGTTTTTGCTTTTAAAGCATTTTTTTCACACTTTATTTGGTGAGCCTCCAAATTGTTCTTTTTTAAAAAAAAAAAAGAAAACTGCTTCCCAACATGTGTGGTGTGAGTTTAGGCCACACAGTTTTTGCATATCAAAAGAATAAAAATTTCTCTTTCAGATTTGACTTTTGACTTCAGACCTCACATTTGTATGTGAGTACATTTTGCTGCACGTGTTTTTTCACTTACTACTTGCACTCCTTTACACTTCAGTTAGTCTTCCAGTGATCAATAGTATTGTCAGCAAGTTGGTACATTAAACTGCCTTTTATTGGATGTTCAGTTTCTGTTTTTTGTTTATATGATTTTTTATGCTCTGTGTGGCCTTGTGAGGGATTGTTAATCTGCATGGGGTTGTACCCGCCGCTCGCTCAGTGACAGCTGGGATGGACTCCAGCAACCCAAAACCTTACTGAGAACGAATGGGTTTCAAAAGGAAATGGATTATTTTTGGCAGCAAAATATTACTTTGCCAGATGATACGCAAGACAATTTCTCAGGTTCATTAAATTTGAGTTGAGTAATATATGTATACATATTTATATATATGTTTAGCTTCCTGTTGTTTCTAGATCTTAACTTGTGTGACCGCCAACTTTCATGTCACACTGAAAGAGGTCATTAAGAGTTTTTGAAAACAGGGTGGCAGCTGACACTTTCTCCTGTGTTTTTTCTCTGTTTGACAGTTTTTAAAGATGAGGTTTCTTTCTTCCGTTGACACATTGCTGAGTTGGCTTTTTGTTATAACGAAGACACTGCAGCGACTAGAAAGATCCAGTGAAAAAAAACATTGCAGTAGTTTGACAGTCAAATAACTGGATAGATTGTGCTTACTAGTCTACCCTGAAACTTGCATTGCCTCGCCCATGTCGTAAGCATTTTCTTTTGTGAGCCTTCAATTTTCTCTCCATGCTGTGTTGTGCTGAGGGAAGTGCTGTATATGTGTGTGTGGGGGGGGGAGGGAGAGAAAAAATGTGAGACTTGGGGATTAAAAGTGTACATGCAATTTTTTTAATCATTTTTGAGAAATAAAGCAAATGTCTGAAATACTCTCTTTCTGTGTGTCAAGTAAGTGTCAACCCCTCACCTTCACGTAACCCCTCATGTGTTCCGTACATCTGGACCTTAAAGACACATGTCAAATAGCACAAGGTTAACGTCATGGCAACAAAGAAAGGCCTCTATATTTCAATATTTTGTCAATTTATTAGATATGTTATTTTTAGATCTAAGAATGTAAAATGTAGGAATTCCTGATGAGTAACTTTTTCTAAGAATAAATCATGAAAACAGCAAAGAAATTGAGTAAAACTCCTCATCCGCTTTCACCCCCGCTCTTTTTCTCAACCTCTGCTCAAACAAGAAAGGGCACTTCTGAGAAAACCACACTCTGCAGGTTGAACTGAATGAAGGGGGAAATGGCAAAGCATTGCGTCTACCTTACCAGAAATGAGCAATGCAGCAGGATTTGAAACAAAAAGCGAGTGCTGCATGTTGATGTGCTCATCATGTAAAGCAGCACCAGAGAATACTTGTTCAAGCTCAGGGATATTGGCAAAGCATGTGGTAAGTGTTCACAAATCAGTCTGTAAACATTTAGCTTGCGTTTAAAAGACTTGTTTACCTCCTACACATTGAAACATGGTGTGTAGTTGAGGATTTTGTTTTGCACATGTGGCTTTGTGTGTACGTATAAGCGATGTAAGCCACAGGAAGTGAGGGTCGGCATGGGTGTCAATCGAGGTGGTTCTCTGTGTGTTGATAGTGAAAGAAAAATGATTGACATGTGGTTTGAGAGATCAAATAAATTTGTTTACCCTAAAGTAGAAGGAAGTTAATGAAATATAATTACACTCAAATGAAAGTGAGACATTATTCTTAAATAAGATGCTTCTGTCAGTGAGGGTCATTCACAACTCAGAAAGCTACAGAATGGGAGTAAATAAATAACCATGAATTTTGAATAGTTCTTATGCTGTTTCGGAAAGCTCTTATAGTTTTATGAACCACCATTGAACATTTCAATGTCTGTTGCAGATATCATCCCGAACATGACTCACCAAATACAAAATGTTAGACAAAAGTTCATTTTAAAGGGCAGGAAAGTACTTTCAACATTTGTAAATTCCCCACAAATTACGAGTCAAAACTGTAGATTATTTTTTGTGGTCATGTGCATTTGCTTTATTATTGTGTTTTAGTTATGTGATTAATTATGGTATTTCACAATACATTTTAAATAACGAGTATCAGAATCAAAACAATAAGAGTACATTTTATTGTTTTATACACTTAACGAGCAACTGGTGAATCTTGGAACAAAAAGCTGAATTGAATAATAAAGGAGTTTTCCAACTGTTTAATTATTCCTTAGTTTTGCATTTTTTCAACTTTATCTTAATTTACTGATAAACTGAAGGTCTAACAGACAAAAAATCATATTAATTAAATATCTATTATGCTCATAATGCTTGTAATTTTCAACTGAGGCTTTAGTTACAGCAAGTCAATTAAACCTCTGGTGCAGTTTTTACCGCACACAGCTCCGTATCTTTCCCTATGTGAAGTTAAGGCAAAGATAAAATGTGTAAGTTTGTAGGTTTATAGGAATTTTATCCCTACATAAAGCTACATAGACAAATAGACTGGAAAATATATACCCTTTAATGAAACAGTTGGTGACAAAAAATAGGAAGGATTGATTTAGTAAAAAGATTATCCATGGAAATTCTAAAGCGACTAGAACATTGTTTATTCATATATATAGATTAGTCCTCAACATTTCATTGGTTGGATTTTAAATAGAAAAATTCTGGTACTGTATTTGTTACTTCTACATTGGTAGTTCTGTATTTTTCCCGCTGTACCACAAATACCAAATGCCAGAGTATCCTTTGCAACAAGTTTGTACACTGAAGTAGTGACCCAAAGTTTTTCTCTGTCTCATGCAATAGTACCAACGTGTCGGAGAACGTGACGGAGGACATGTACGTGTACATGGATCAGGATGAGTGTGATGATAACAGTGTATACTTGTCAAATGGATCGCCATTCCTCTTGGGTATTTACTACCCTCTGTTCTTCCTGGGCCTACTGGGTAGGTTTCAATAAGGCTATATTCTATTAAAAGTGTAGCTGCATGTATTAACATAGTTCAAAGCTAGTAAAAGAAATGAAGATTTAGATTGACATCAGTTGACATTAGACACTTTTGCCCTTCTGCAATAGAAAATTTAATTTAAGTCAGAACTAAAAGTTTGTGATTTAACAGGGAACTGCACGGTGCTGTGGACTCTCCTCCGGCACATAAAGCTAAAGTCAATGACAGATGTGTGCCTCCTCAACCTGGTCCTCTCTGACCTCTTACTGACGGTGTCTCTGCCCCTGTGGGCACACAGCTCCCAGAGCCTTGTGTCATGCAAGCTGAAAACAGCATTCTATCAGGTGGGACTTTTTTTAATAAACCATACACTAATGGATATTATATTATGTTAAATACAATCACCTATAAATGTTCCCATTTCTGATGTTTAAAAGTCAAGCAAAAACATTCTTAGTGAACCACAGATGTACCTTTGTGAGTGTCTTAAATAAACAGTGGTAATGAGATGTAGGCTGCCACTTCCTGTTCTCACTTTGCTTTTTCTGTGCTCGTCTGAACAGCTAAGTTTCTACAGCGGGACATTATTTGTGACGCTGATGAGTGTTGACCGCTACCTTGCCATCGTGCACGCTGTCGCAGCCCTGAAGGCCCGGGCACTTCGCCATGGAGTCCTCGCCAGCATCATAATCTGGGTTATATCTGTAATCATGGCAGCCCCGCAGGTCATATTTGCCTCCTTGGAGTTTGAAAATGAAACAATTCAATGCGAGCCCTTCTATCCAGAAGAGACACAGAAATTTTGGAAAAAGCTGCGAAACTTCAGTGAGAACACAGTGGGACTTTTTGTGTGCCTTCCTGTAATGATTTTCTCTTATGTGAAAATCTTTGCTGTGCTTTCCAAATCCAGGAACTCCAAAAGAAACAAAGCAGTTAAACTGATATTTACCGTGGTCTGTGTGTTTGTGGTGTGCTGGGTCCCTTACAACATTACAGTTTTCCTTCAGACTCTGGAACTGATGGAAATCCTGAACTCCTGCAAAACGTCAAAGGATATCGATTTAGCAATTTTCTTTGCTGAGATTATCGCACTATCCCACTGCTGCATAAATCCAGTGATTTATGCATTTATTGGGGAGAAGTTTAGGAAGTCACTTGGCAAAGTGCTCATGAAATACATCGGTAGGAACTACCTTATTGGAGGGGCTCACAGCCACAGAGACACCACAGAAAATGAGACCTCCAACACACCTATAAAATCAGATTATTAAAAGTGGGTCATCTGTGTGGTGGAGTGCACATGCAGCACATGTTTTGGTTCCTTTTTAAAAAAAACATTTTCTTCACCACAATAGACACAGAAAATATTCTGTACGCATGAGTCACGTGGTGACTGAGGTTTCGTGCTTGTAAGAGAAAACAGTATCGAGACTGTTCAATGTAAAAAGCAAATGACTCATTTTCAAAAATGTATAGAGTGGAATAAATGTATTAAATATATAGCCACAAAATGTTTTTCTTAAAAATATATTTTAAAATCTCCATGTTCATCTTTCTGGATAAAACATGTAAAAAAATATTTTGGGCTCTTCTTGTTTTATCAAGTGGAAAGAAACAATGGGCGCAAGGGATACAGTGTGTTTGTGTGTGTCTGGCAATTAAAAAAAAAGTTTTTATAAACTAAATACTATCTGTTCAGGACTGTGTGGACCCAAGTGCATTGTCGGTTGCAAGAGGGTGATGGAAACCTTAAATACAACTGAACTGTAAAATGACAAGATAAATTCAATAAGTGATTTCAGCTGTGGCTGATTGAGTAGAAACAAATTTGAAATTATTTAAATGTCAATGATTAAAGCAATTAAAAAATAAAAAAACAAAGATTTGTCACTGTGTGTGTGGCAGAGTTCAGGTTAAAGTGGAAAGGTAAGGGTGTTCACACTATGTGTAAATCCATCGTTTGGATGTTCCAGGGCATGGCCACACAGCTGAAACTCTGTCAAATTGACACGTGAAGTGCAAACACTCATTACTGCTTGAGCTGCTGTCATTAGATGTCGATACCTCTGCCAGAGAAAACCTTTCACTTTCTGCACAAAGTACTGCTTTGAACCAGTTATCAGCAGGGGCTGTTTCTGTGCTAAAAACAACAGCAGCCTGCACACAGAGCTCTTCCAGCCTCAGACGGTGAGTGTTGTCTGCAGATCTGGTCAAACTGAGCCTGCCCTGCACATATCCAAGCTTGCACAAACAGACTTTTGGTTCTGCATCTGCAGGTGTATTGGGTCTATGTTTGAAAGTTCCAAAAGCATTCTCGGGAAGGAAGTAACCAAGCATCCCAATTTTAAAGGTCCACCCGGCCTCGTTGGTTTAGGGAAGGGAGAGTACTTAAACGCTGATTACACCACCTCACACTGTGTTAGAAGTTTGGTTACATCACATGCTTGACTGACATAGTTTTAGACCAGAATGAACTCCACAGATGTATCTTTCCTCACCAGTGACATGGGGTAGGTGTTCATTTTTCTCCAATTTAAAAGTGCACATTTTTTTCAAAAGTATCTGCCATATTACCAAAAAGCCCTTGGGGGAGTAATCATGTGTCACTACTGAAGTAATGCATGCACGTGCCATTTTTATTTAATGCCAAACACAGCGGTAAAGATTCACGAAGGACGGGGGCAAAGATTTGCACGATGTGAAAACAAGAGTCAAAGACCCAAGGCAGTGAATTCTGGCTTATCTAAGGACTGTATAGGTTTTTTTATTAGATGATAAAGATTTTGTTATTGCAACAAAACCAATAATAAATCCGCCAACGAAATAGTGTAATTTCAATGTTTATTACAACATTTCTAGTATGAGGACTTCGCTAACTGGCTTTAGAACTATCACCTACTGGGGGTGTCCCGGTCCAGCTTTTTTCACTTCCGATCTGATACCGATACCGGAGCATGTATTAAAGTTTAAAGTTATTCAGCCTACTTATTTAGTGGTCAGACTCATGTTAAAAAGGGACTTACTCTTATAACAACTAGCCAGCTGAATAATATGAATAATACACAATGGATCGGACTTTAAATAAAATAAACTGGATCGGGAGTCTGGACCGGCATTTCCTCATCCCGGACGATATGCTTTCTTTTCCAAACATCACATCCGATCCAAATATCGGATCAGGACAAGCCTAAGGGCGGGGGGCCTTTGCTCGAAATTAAGTTTTTTTTTTTTAGGTTTAGCCATTCAGTTTAACAGTAGTAGTCTTATGTCACACATATATTTCCATGTTCTATGACAGATCAACACAATGTTTCAAGCCTGAAATTAAATCTATCTGTTACTACTTAGTCTATTTAGCTGAACTCAAGGCATATCCTGTCAGGTCTAAAACACTTTTTCGCATCGGCTTTGTAAAGTGCGTGAGCTCTTTATTTCCTGATTCTCCTGCTTCTTCGTTCATACTCTCCACATGCAATATAAGCCCTGAAGTTTTAAACTCATTCCACTGTTGAATTGCTCTGTAGCTTCAGCATGAGCTCACAGCAAGGATTCACTTTAAAGAAGAAAATCCCTGCATCTGACAGTTTTCGATTTTCATGTGATGATAAATGTTTAATTTCTTATAATCCCTAGAGGTTCAACTTAGAGCGAATTCATTGGACCCTCTTGAAGAAAGCAAAAATGAGTATACATTAATGATTTCTCTTTGTTCCTCTTTTTCACTCCAGCTTTGCAGAGGCCTTCACTGTGAACAGCACAGGCTTTACCACCGAGGCCTTCACTGTTAACAGCACCGGCTTTACCACCGAGATTAGCACTTACTTTTACTATGACTACCCTGATGAGGACTTTGGAAGATGTCACTTTGAGCATCATGCAGCCCATTTCATCCCTCCCCTGTATGCTATTTTCTTCCTCCTGGGCATCCTGGGTAACTCCCTGGTCATCTGGGTCATAGTCTGTGGGGTGAGACTCCGCAGCATGACCGACGTGTGCCTGTTAAACTTGGCCATCGCTGACCTGCTCTTAGTGTGTTCCCTTCCCTTTCTTGCTCACCAGGCCCGGGAAGAGTGGGTGTTTGGGGACGCAATGTGTAAGGTGGTCCTGGGCACCTATCATATTGTCTTCTACTGTGGAGTCTTTTTTATCTGTTTGATGAGCATCGACCGCTACTTGGCTATAGTGCACGCTGTGTACGCTTTGAAAGCACGGACACGGTCTTTTGGACTGGTCGCGGCTGCGGTCACCTGGGTGGCTGGATTTTTGTCCTCTTTCCCCGAACTTATCTACCTGGAACAGCAGAAAAGTGCCAACATGTCCTACCAATGCTTCCCTGCATACCCAGCAGCAGCTGATGGATATGAGAATTCTTTAAACCCTCACTTCTGGAGGGTGTTTGGCCTTTTGAAAATGAACATTGTGGGTCTATTTGTCCCACTTTTCATCATGTCTTTCTGCTACTCGCAGATCATCTGGAGGCTGCTGTACAGCCATTCATCCAAGAAAAAGGCCATTCAAGTGGTTTTAGTGGTAGTGGCAGTTTTTTTCTGCTGCTGGGTCCCCTACAACATTGCATCCTTCTTCAAAGCACTAGACCTTCTGCACATCTACACAGGGTGTGAACGCAGCAAAGCCATCAGACTGGCTTTACAAGTCACAGAAGCCATCGCCTACTCTCACAGCTGTCTGAACCCCATCCTGTATGTGTTTGTTGGGGAGAAGTTCAGGAGGCAGCTGCTGAGGTTGATGAGCAGAGCTTCCTGTGTCCAGACCAATCACTGTATCAGTACACTGACCATTATGGATGAGAGGAGCACTGGAGCGTAAACTCGGGGTGTGGAGATGCGGTCTTTGGGGACTCTGATAATTAAGATAACTAGCCATGAGTTAAGTAAGTTTTTGGCCAAAGAAACTGAAATGAAGTTTGTGTATACTGTATGTGCATTAGTTTCAAAGTGTCACTGTCTTATTTTGTACCTTGTGCTTCTTAGCCATTTCTGTAACTTTAGATCATGCCGTTAAGCTTCTTGAAACTTATTGAGACACATTAGAAAAAATGATTGTCATGATCCCATTACTGGTTACTTGAACTGTTAATATTTAAAGTTTTTTAATGTTTTTGACTTTGGAGCTGTCTCAATTCGTAACTGTCTTGAAATCTATGAAATCTTTGATGGAACACTCTCCGAGAGAAAGCTCTAAGTAGTCCTGTGGAGGTTTCAGTGTATATGTATAAGTAAAATAATTCTATGCTGATTGAACAATTTCTCATTAGCCCTCTCAATTGCCCTCTAATGTTTCCATGAATTTCTGTTTTATCTGAGTGGAAAAATCAAACTGACTCATTAAGAATTGTACTTGTGTTTATGAAAATCCCTCAAGATGTCTTACATAACAGCATCAGAATCAAAATGATGGAAATTGTGAGATAGGGATATTTTATCTAGACTGCGGTTTGTCATGTGATACAAACCTGGACGCATGTAGTCATTCTTATAATTGTTTTTTTTCCCTCTCAAACCAATTATTTTACATGGAAATGTAACAATGTATCATGTATGCATTTATTCATTACAGTGGGACAATTGGAGCTCAAAAACAGTTGGTCGACAGCATGGTTATCTTATTTTACACAACCCTCTTTTCTATTTTTATTTTAAAAACATTTTAAAAACATTTCATAGTTATTCAATATCAGAAGTGGCAGCAGTGATACATTTGCAATGATTTATCCATCTGCTGAGGAACTGGAACATTATTGCAGCTTCGATAATATGCTACACTTACAATATTTGCTTGTAGATAAGGTATCACAAAACAGGTCATTAAGATTTTACAATTTTTAGATATTCATATTTGTATCCATATGTTTTGTAACTATTACGTTTTCAGTTGTACCATTGGGATTTAGCAGGCACTGCCGGACAAAAAACAGAACAATGGCCTAGTATAATTTATTTAACATGAAACACTGAGGCATGTTTGTTTGTTTTGCTTTGCAACATCCTCGAACACTTGCCACCTTAGACTTTGGGATTTTTAAGTTGGTTATCTGTATTAATCATGATATAAGATAATACAAGCTGTAGCGTTTGTGCTCTTGTTTTTTTCTGTAATTGTGAGAATGAAATTGTATATTTTGCATGTTTCAAGGTTGACACTTGGTTTTATGACTGGTTAACATATGGTTATGTGTTCAGTACTGATGGTTAGGTTGAGAGGGTAAAGAACCTACGATGTCAATGACACAGCCATGTGAAGATCAAAAGCAAAAGATGTGTTGCTGTATATGTGGTAGAGTGCATAATAAAGGTGTGAAGGGAAGGATATTCACTAAACCGTGAGTGACATTTTCATCCTATCTTTCTTTGCAACTAAGTGTGTAGTGGTCTGGCTCACCAGTTAAAACTTTGTAACAAATTGCTTAGCACAGACATGTTAAATTTAATTATCTCTTTTTTACAGTGGTATCAATTCTCTTATGCAAACAAGTAAGAAAAAACACCTGCACTCAGAGCTCTGCAAGAAACCTTCTGCAGATATGGTCAAATTCAACTTGCACAATTTTCAGTTTGCAGATGCGGACTTGTGGTTCCACGAGCAGAGCGTGATGGGTCTACGTTCAAAAGTATTCTCAGGAAGTAACTAACCAAACATCTCATGTATATAAGCCCACTAGGCACTTTGGTATGGGGAGGGGGAGAATACTTAAAACGTGAGTGCACCATTTCACCCTGTGTTAGATGTTTGGTCATATCAGATGCAAGGTTGACACAATTTCAGGTTAGGTAATCCTTCTCAACATCTTGTGAACCAGAATGAATTCCACAGATGGATATTTCACCGGCAGTACTAGTGGGTAGGTGTTTTATTTTCACCTGAAAGGTGCTTATGTTTACATTTGAAAGTATATTAAATATAACCACAAAAGCCCGCTTCTATCAGCAGAGAGAAATGAGTTGCTGCAACTGAGTTTTACTCAAATATTGCCTTTATGTGTAATTTTCATGTAATGTGAGACGAGTCTCTCCATTTTCACCATTTTACATCAACGTTACTATGTTTAGTTGCTCAATTTAAATAATACTTTTAGGGATTAATTTGCGCATGTCAGAAGTTGATGATTAAAAAAAACAGCAACACCAACACCAACAAAAACAAAGGAATAAAGATTAAATCTCCAGCAGCCAAAAGACAGTGATGTCACTCATAGAATATGGGTCAGTAGAACGTTTGTTTTACGCATGCAGATCGTGGTAGTGATAGAGCACTTTACGTGCTCCGGGGGCTCTCTGACTGAAGACTCTGTGAACTTTATCCAGTGCCCTCAGTCGTCAGATGAGCACATGAAAACACCCTGTAAACTTTTTTTTAATACTGTTATCGAGACAAATAGGTTTTTTAATTAAATTGTTGACGATAGTTATAGTACGATCTGTTATGGAAAATGTAGAATTGAAACATTTTTGCAACTTTGGAAGTGTGTTATTCTTACAATATCTGATTATGCATCAAGGTTTTGCTTAATCCATAACAAGTAACTAACCAAACATCTTATATATTTCAAAATTGTTATTTAAACTGTCCTATTGCGCTGGGATACCCGTGCAAATTCCTGTGTAGCCTGCACATTTGGCCAATAAAGCGATTTCTGATTCTGATTACAAGGGCAAGTTGCTGACCTACTTATTAAATCAACTTTGCAGCATTGCTCAGACAATTAGTGAAGTCATCATTCTAGAGACTCAGTTATGGTTTTGAGGTTTATCAAAGCAACCAAGTATGAGGACATTGCTTCCTGGGTCAGAGCTTTGGAAAGTGCACTTTGGTCCTATCAGTGGTTTAGTGATTGATTCTGCACTTAAGGATAATATAAGAAGAGATGCATTCAGTTTCAGCACAGCAACCTCCTATCTGGATCAAACCACGCACCATACCTCCAATGAAATACACATTAAAGATATTCAAAGTGGGTCAAACAGCTGCCAAGTGAGCCAGACATCAGCACTACAACAGCTTTTAAAAAGGTGATCAGTGGCAATAAAAGAATCGTCCCAACACAGGCCCTGATGTGCTGCCGCGTAGACCAGAGGGGAGGTCTTATTTCACAGTTGTATTGCGTTTAGCTGTGTTGCTTTAAAAAACAGCTGTTTCTTCCTGGTTCTTCTTTCTGTTGGCTGCCTATAACAACAAACATCACCGTGTCACTTTATCGGAAATGGGGTAAGGATTAATAAGCAAAGAATACACTCTTATTTTGTATTAATGTACATTGCGTTATAGTATTATTACTCTAGCATTGCTATACTCGTTGTATTCTACCATGCTGACACAGTGTCTAACTGTTCTTTTACAACCTCTTATGCTGTTTTTCTACCAAGGCTGAGAGCTCTGGATTGTCATAATCTCAAAAAAAGATTGAAAAAAAAACAGGAAAGGGAAAACATAAGCCGAAATTCCATGAAACTGGGGGTGTTGAGCAATTTTAAAGGAACGCTAATGTTTCTGTGAGACTGAAGTTTTCAATAAAAACTGACTTATGCCACAGAAAGAACATGTGCTCCCTGGTGCCATTTCGTCTTTTTAACTGCAAACCAATACCAGCTGTTTGTTCGGTGGTTTCCTTATGCAGTCCAGCTGTTAGCCGGAAAAACAAGAGATTCCAATCTGCATTCTTTTCCCGTTCGTCATGTCTTGGCCAAGCGCTTAAAAAACCGAGAGATTCCAGTGATTTCAGAAACTCCCAAAGCCTCCTGGTTGCATATTTTACAAACTTACTTTTGAGGTTAAAATGTACCTTCACAACTAGTTCTTTATGTTGAGTAATATTTTACAAATCTGGTTTTATGTAGGAAAACGACCCTCTTAAAGATCCACTAAGATAAAGATTTCCAGTGCTTTCCAGATTTTAACTTCTTGATAAAACATGTTGCTTATTACATTTACATCCATCTGACAGAAAATAAGGATGCTTGCATCTTTACATGTCATTTATCCAAAAATGTTATATATTTCAGGAAAAACAACTCATTCAAATCAGGAAATTCCTACACCTTCACATATAGTGAAAAGGTTAATTTAGCTCACCCCTTGTCAGGAAGGTGGATCTTGATGGAGGACTCAAGCGCGGAGATGCAGAAAACAGGGTTTATTGTAACAAAAACCGGTTCAAAAACAGGGCTGTGGCAAAACTATGAGCAAAGTAACAAAGCAAGGTTAACAAACTGTGGCAAAGTATCAAAACATGACTGTGGCAAAAGTACAAACGAGATTAACATGGCAGTGGTCAAACAAGGGTCTGGCAAAGTAAGAAAATAAAGATGAACTAAACTGTGGCAAGGCTGTGGTGAAACATGGCTACGGGAAATCATCAAAACCTTACATGAAGTGGGGAGACGAAAGACGAGAGATGAAAGACGCAACGAACTGGCACAGGACATGGGAAACGAGGACTATTTAAACACATGAGGGAGGGGAACCCCAGGTGTACACAATAGGTAATCAACACATGACGAGACACCAGACATTCCCCCAGACGCGACACCCCTTAAAGGTTTGACTTAAGAATTTTGTTGTGCTCAACCTGCCTCGCAAATTCACTCCTTATTCCTGAACAAGTATGTAGATAAATGTGTACATATATCAGACTCTTCTTAATTATTTGTCATTGTTCCTGTTTTTCTCACCAGCTTTGCTGAGGCCTTCACTGTTAACAGCACCGGCTTTACCACTGAGGCCTTC